ACCCAGGCGGGGAGGGGGGGTGGGCTGCTGGCTAAGACCATGGGGGACCCAGCACTGGGCTCCGGGGGCTGGAGAGCAGGGAGGCCACAGGGCAAAGGAAAGGACACCAGGAGGGAAAGGGGCTGGGAGCAAAGACAGGAGCACACCTGGCCAGGCGGTTCGCCCAAAGCCAGCTACACCTCTCCCTGCGGTTTCAGTACTATGCTAGGCCACAGCTTCTACATGTCCGTATCCTCCCATCGAAACAGACCGTGTCCCCTGTCAACTTCTCACCTGGACGCCCGGGCTGTGGTTCAGCAGATCCAGGTATGGGGCGAGGGCGCAGGTGTCTGGCTCTGCAGAAAGGCCCGGCCTCCGCCCACGCTTCAGGTACACAGCTCGCGTGTTGACCGTGCACCAGGCCCACAGGAAGGCACTGTAGCTGAAGATGCTCTCAGTAGCCTCAGAAAACAGAGGCTGCAGGGAAGAGAAAAGGTCCCTGGAGGACGTGAACATCTCCTGCACGCGGGTCCTCTGCTCTCTGGCCTCCGCTGCCAACCTCCTGGGAAGGAGACCCACCACTTCTGGCTCCAAGCACACGGGGCAGGTGTAGGCTTCTGGTAAAATCTGCAGGTAGGGCTTCCAGGGAGACCGAGCCCCAGCATGCTTCTCTGCGACTAAGAAGGTGCACAGAGCCAGCAGAGGAGACGGGGGAGGCTGCCACCTCAAAATTAAAAGCCAGAATAAAGGAGTTACTTTTATTGGAAGATACAGACACCCTCATGGTTCGTTCTGCTCGCAGAGGGACTGGCCGGTCAGTGCTCGTCCAGTTCACTTCATCACCCGTGGGAGAGGTTCCCTCCTCAGGCTCTCCTCCCCAGAGCACCCAACACAAGTGCTCCGAGCAAGTCACACTGGCACGAGGATGGACTCAGTAGCCCGAGTCCCAGGTTTGTTTGGAAGAGGTTCCTTTCTGTAAAACACCTCTTTGCTTCCAACACGGCTCTCCAGTTTAAAGCTTTGCTGGAAGTCTTGTTTCCCTTGGGTGATGATATAGAGCATGCTGGAAAGAACCTAGACCTGCCCCAGCTCCTGGGCACACGTAGCTATTTCCACTTTAATCCTAAACTTATCATCTCTGTTGTAAATTATACACTGCAGAATTTTTATCTGTTCCCAGTAAGATGATCTCATGCTGCATGAACGTATTTAGAAAAGTTTACATGAATCTTTCAAAGTCCAGATTCCCTATTACCATACATTCTACTGAGGATCTCAGAATGATATGGAAAATAGTAATACTAAGAGCATCTTTGCCTCTACTCAGGCCAATAAAGATAAATCAATCCTGCCTTGCCAAGTGTGGCTCAGCAGTTGAGCGTCAACCTAGGATCCAGGCGATCGGGGTTCAATTCCCGGTTGGGGCACATGCCCAGATTGCGGGCTCGATCCCCAGTTGGGGGCGTACAGGAGGCAGCCGATCAATGACTCTCTCATCATTGATGTTTCTATCTCTCTCTCCCCCTCTCCTTTCCTCTCTGAAATCAACAAAGATATATTTTTTAAAAAAAGATAAATCAGTCCTTTTACAAAAGCAAGCAGGGCGAGGGGGTGGCACACATTCAGAACAACCCTGGGTTAAGAACAACACGATCTTTCAACCCTCACAATTTAGAAACCCCTCTGCTGAGGATCCTGCACACTCTGTCCTCAGATCCCAAACAGAGGCCACCAAAGCAGGAGCTGGAAGTCAGCTCTGCACTCCACACCAGCCTCCTCTCCTCCACGCCAAACAAACTCTCGAATTGTCAACAGCTCTTCCAAGTTGAAGGAAAATTCAAGCAAGTGCAATAAGGGTAAAAGTAAAAGCGTAATGAACGTCTGTGGGGCCCTACGGTGACGGAGGATGAGCCGTGAGCGAGCTACCTCCACTGTCCCACGTAACGTCCATCTTCTGTAAGTGATCGATCAGGACTCTGACCCACCTCCCAGGCAGCCTCTGAAAACCCTTACAATGCAGTTACAGTGAATTAAGAACAAACTGCACAGAACAGAGCAGACCTTTCCCGTGATTTCAGGCACCGGCTGTGCAAAGGGGCCGGGTCCTCAGGAGCTCTCTCAGGTGACGGATCTGCTGCGATACTCTAAGCGAGAAGCATGTGCCAGGGGGCATGTGTGCGGTCACTTACTCAGCAACGTACGCCCCTAAGTAGCTCCTAATCACTGTGTCCGTGGTGAGCAGGCAGCTCTCAGGCAACGCAATGATCACCTGTCCCTCCTTGCCAAAGAAGAAAGCACAGTTTAGAACGCCCCTGCTTCGGGAAGGGCCTGTGAGTAGCATCTTTTGAAGTCCTCGGTTCCACCATCATCTACTAAGAACCCAGAATAACCCAACCACAGACCACCAAGGAACCCACCGACGGACTGACTCCCAGGCCCGAGTCGGCGGGTGTAGGCGAGGCCGCTCCAGCGCAGGCGCCCCGACAGGAATCACGGGTCAACAGTGTGACTGACACCCACCGCCAGTCAACCTTTCAGCAGAAAGGAGTGTGGAAACTCGGACAACTCAAATCACATTGTTCCTTCACTTTCTTAGGCCAGGGAATTGTGCTACCCTCAGGGAACAGACAGAAACCACCTGAAAAATTCCATCCAGTGCAGCCCCATGTTCCCAGCAACGGCCTCCTCTCCACAGAACCTGCACCACTAGCTAAAGAAAGGGCAGCCCACCCAGCACGAGGGTCTCATCTGGTCACCTGCAAAAGTACAGTTTTCAGTCCCTCCCACCGAGATAGAAACATAGAAAATTAAGATGTCAAATAACAGACACCAGAAACAAAGCACTAAGAGGCCAGACGTAAGGTCCTGCTTTCATTATAACTGGCACCTAAGTTAAAACTCTCAGCCAAAAATCACCTGGGTTGCATTTCTGGTTTCCTCATCTGTAAATCAAGATCAAGCTAGATGATCATGACCACCCCTTCCTGTCCCAACATCCATGACTTTCTGATTTTTAACAAAGTCACCTGGCCCTGGATGGGTGGCTCAGTTGGTTAGATCATCACCACATACACCAAAGGTCATGGGTTCAATTCCAGGTCGGGGGCGCATATAGGAGGCAACCGATCAATGTTTCTCTCTCACGTTGATGTTTCTCTCTCTCTCTCAAAAATCAATAAAAACATATCCTCAGGTGAGGATTTTAAAAAGCCACTTGATAAAATGGTCATGTCTTCATTGGGGTAAATCTCTTAAACATCAAAACTCATCAAACTGGACACATAAATCCGTGCATTCCACTCTGTGTAAAATATGTCTCAATTTTCAGGAAGTTTAACAGAAAAGTCACATTTAAAAGTACATGTAAAGCGCCCGGCCGGGCGTGGCTCAGTGGTTGAGCGTCGACCTGGGATCCAGGAGATGGGGGTTCGATTCCCAGTCAGGGCGCATGCCCGGGTTGCGGGCTCGATCGATAACTCTCATCATTGATGTTTCTCTCTCTCCCTCTCCTTTCCTTTCTCTGAAGTCAATAAAAATATGTTTAAAACTAAATAAATAAAAGTACATGTAAAGCAATTGCTAATTTTCATTTCACAGTCTAACAAAAATGACCTATGTCACTGCTGTGTATGTGAGAGGTGCATTTCTCCTCCCCAAATTCTGCTACAGGATGAAGTCAATTACACCTCCGTTCAAAAATACTACACAACAGTATGAATGTACTTGATACTAATAAGCTGCACACTTAAAATGGTTAGGATGGTAAATGCTATGTTATGTATATTTTGCCACAATTAAAAATTATAAAATAATAAAAAATTAAAATAGCATAATAGAATTACAACATTAAAAGTTACCATTCTTTATGCTACACATATGGCTAGATTTTATATAAATTAAAAAATTAAAAATAAATTAAAATAATTTTAAATAAAAATAATTAAAGATAAGGAATTAATTTGTAGCTTACAGAAGACTGTGCTTTAAACAGCACAGAAAGAACTACATGGACCCTGTGGATCACCTGTGCCATTCACTGCCTCGCTTTCCAGGTGAGGAAACAAGCCAAGGTTAGGAGCCCTCGTGCGGTCGTGTGGTGCCGGAGCCACAGCAAGCTGAAGGCCACCCTGGGAGGGCTCCGAGGCCCCCTCCCCCTGCTTGCTCTTGCTCGGCTCTGCGTACTCCACTATGCACAGCCTCAGAGATGAGAGCGGCTCCCTCCACAGGCACTTTTAAAATATGATCTGATTTATAAAATCTGCCGTGGCAGAGACTGCTGGCTGCCCACCCCAACAAGCCCTCTCTCCCCTCACTACCGCAATCCCATCCAAAGGGACTGACGACAGATCTCTCAGCAGCTGCAGGGGCTGTGTACCAATCGCTGGCAGCTGAGATGAGGCTGGAATTTCCTTGACGGGAGGAAATCTGCCCTTCCTCACCCCCTTGCTTGGTCCTGTGCTCAAGCTCCAGGACCTACACGCTGAACCTGGGGTGTCGGGCTCCCTCTGGGAAGTGGGTAGAGAGCTGGAAAGAGCCTGGGCCTCAACTGGCCACCGGAACACACCAGCCAGCCAGGTCTGCCTGACCAGGCGTGTTCACATGCCGGCAAAATAAACCTCTGCTCTGTGTGAGCACCGCTACTCTGGGTTTGCCCAGAGCTGTACTGACACGTATCTATTAGGTGAAAAATGACTGTATGTCGGGCATACTTTCTAATCCTCACCTGGGGCTCTTTCCCTTGCTTTTCAGAAGGGGGGGAGGGGAGCAGGAGAGAAACATCCATGTGAGAGAGACGCACGTCATTGGTGGCCTCCCACTCGCCCACCAACCAGGGCCGGGGATGGAGCCTGCAACCGAGGTGCATGCCCTTGGCTGGAATCAGACCTGGGACCCACCAGTCTGTGGGCCGATGCTCCACCCACTGAGGCAAACGGGCCAGGGCTGTCAGACATATTTTAATTCCCTTCGCTTCAACCACAAAAACAAAGCAGCAAAATTTACACTGGGTTTCAAGGAGAAGAGAGGTTCTCACCTGCAGGGACGTTCTGCTCCTCAGCCCTCGTCCTGTATCTGGGAACACAGAGAACACAAGGTAAATCCTACTCAGCTTCCAGGTCTCAGCACTATCTGAACAGAAGACATGAATGAACCTCAAAAAGACACGGAGCTGGGGCGGGTGTCTGGCATCCTTTGAGTCCTAGAGCATCCAGCAACTCTTCTGCAGAACGGCTGACCCCCCTTTGGGTTTGCAATCCTCGAAAGGCCAAGTGAGTCTCAGAGTCAGTACCTGAAGATCATGCACCGTCTACAGACCTGCTGCTGGGTCTCTACAGGAACCTTCAAGCTGCCCTCCACCCCCGGACCTCCCAGCTGAGGGGGCTGAGGCTTCTTGGACTGACCAACGAGATCTCTTGGACTGAGCAACAATAAGGCCCAGTCCAGTCCCACACAGCCTGTGGACACCCTCCTATCCTTGGCCGGGCAACCATTAAACTGGGTGCTTCCCTTCACTAGGCGAGCTCAGCAGGGTAGACCCAGGGCCAGCTGCTCCCCGAGAGCCAAGGCCTTGGCCAGAGCAGTCACAACAACAGGGACATCACCAGCTGCACTGTCATCACCACCAACATCCCGGAGTTCACCCCTCCGTGCCTAAGCTCCCCCTGCAATAGTTGAATGACAGCTTTTTTGGCAGGTACAGCTGTAATAGGACCAGTAAATATCATATGGGGTCTTCTTGCCCTTTTCTCTCCCAGTCGGGAGGGAATACAGTTTGGCACAGTCTCCGAGGGACTGTGGGAGCTCCTGGTTCATGGAGGGAATTCCCGCCTGGTGTCCTGAATTAAGTGTCCAGAGAGTTTGACTTGATGATACTAACTCATCTCCCCACTCAGAAGTGTGCCGCCTGATCAGACCCCTGGTTTTGGCTTTAAGAACTTACTAATTTCTGTGTGTGCCCCATGGTGGGGTTAACCATCCTGTGGGCCAAACCTTTCCTGGAATCAATTACTTAAAAAATGAATTTTGGTTTCCTCTGGGGACCTTCTTTAAAAGACTTGTATGATAATTTAAGTGGAAGTTTGTCTCCAAACATACACAGGGTGCACAAAGGTAGGTTCATAGTTGAGACACAAATAATACAGTAATTAATAAATCATAATACAAGAATAAACTGCGTTTCGCATCCTCACAACTGTAAACCTACGTCTGCCAACCACTGTATGAACAGAGCCTGGCATATAGGATAGAGCTGGAAGAGTTTCTACAGTAGTGTTCAAGGCCAGCAAACAGGCCACAGTCACCACACTTACTAAGGGAGGCGGGAAGTGGCCAGGAGGACCTTATAAAAGTGACGCTTACTACAGACTTCTCACTGCCTTGAGGTTCCTGCTACCTTAGGTCTTACCCAGGGGGCCAGATACACCCAGTGCTTGGTGGTGAAAGGAAACATTGGGGTCAGTTCCTAAAGCACAATTCAGGTGGAAGTCTGGACACTGAACCTTGCTAGATACTGAGGAGCCTCGCCTTGCCCCACCCGCCACAGCTAATTTAGGTTCAATTCCCCTAAATGGTGTGCACTTTCACAGACCGCCGTGAATGTTTCTTTCTACCTCACGTAAGAGCTGAAGACATATAAAGGACCTGGAGCAGGTGTTACATGAATGTTTGTGCCTCGCCCCCCAAATCCACATGTTGAAATCCTAACCCTGAAGTGGTGGCCCTAGGAGGCAGGGCCCTTGGCAAGTGATGAGGTCACAGGGTGGAGTCCTCCTAAATGAATTTTAGTGCTTTATAAAAACAGATGTGGGAGCTTGCTCCATTCCCCTGTGCTCGCCCTGTGAGGACACCAGGAGATAGGGGCAATCTGCAAACCAGGAATCAGCCCTCATCAGAAGCTGAGTCTGCCCCCACCATGATTCCACACTTCCCAGCCTCCAGAACAGTGAGAAATAAGCTGTGGTTGAAGTCCCCGGTCCATAGTGATCCGTTACGCACCCCAAGCTGACGAAGACAGAGGTTCCGGGCCCCCAGACTATAAGCAGTGGGCGCTGATCACTGCCAACCCATTCTGCTTCAGCTCCTCCAGGACCAGGAGTCCGGGAGTGGGCCTGGAGATTGTTCCCACTTTCACACAGTAACTCTCCACTGCTCCAAAGATCAACAGGTTATGTACCTCCAGGCATTTCATTTAAACTACTTGTCACTTCCTGCTTGACAATCTTAACCCTGTCCTTAAGGCAGAGTGACAGCTGAGGAGTAGGCAGGCCTGAGGCACAGTGCGTCCCTCCTGACGACTTTCTCTTGATTGAGAACTCCCTCCAGTAAAACCTAAGAGCACGGCCTTTACTAACTGCTCCTTGACACACAAACCCAGGAAGTTAAACATTCTGTTAACAGGGGTGTTAACAGAGCAGGGGTGAGGAATATCTGGCCCGCAGGCCATATAAGGCCCACGAAATCATTTGGTCTGGCCCTGCCAAGGCAATAATTAGCTTTATTCATGGCTAATTTTTAAGTTGATAATTCTATATGGCCCACAAATGATGTTATAAATATCCAAATGGCCCTTGGCAGAAAAAAGGTTCCCCACCCCTGTGTTAAAGGCTGACAAATACAATTCACCATCAAGAGCGGCCCCAACAGAAAACGGCTCAAGTCAAGCATTTTAGCCCAAAGTCACCCTGTGTAACTGACGCACAGTGAGCAACTTTAAACACATCACCTACCTCAAGCAGGGGCACACACAGTAAACCATTTATCTTGGGGGGTGTATAAGGAAGTTACTTTGCTCGAAGTTAAATAACCTGATGGGTACTTGAATAATAAATCATTTTAATGGCCAAGGGGAGCACGCAGAGCATATGATTTAAATTTTCTACCAGGCAAAATGTCCGATGTAGAATTTCAAGGCCCTAATCACACAGCTGTCTCTGCGCCGGAGCAGACCCCAAATCCTTCTGAAGAGCATCCTGATCCTCCCGTGGCCACCTCAAGCCCACTTCTGGAAAGAACCAGGTGGCCTTGAAGCAGGCACACGCCCACAGGAAGCTGCCCGGCTTCCGTAAGAGAACATCCCAGAAGGGAATGCTAATCCAAACTCCATGACAAGATGCTCTATTTCCAGAAAAGAATGTTAATCCAACTTCCACAACAAGCTGCTCAAACTCCAGAAGAGAACATGAATCCACCTCTGCTCAGGTGACTGCTGAAGTTCAGGCCACAAAGGCCTCCTCCTCCAAGACTTGGGGGGCAAAGCTACAGAGCAGCTGAGGCCTTCCCGGGACTCCTGTCCTCCAGCCGCACGCCAAGAACAAGCAGCCCACGGCCACTTGGAAAACTATTTTGCCTCCCCTGAGCTATGAGAGGATGCCATCAGCCTGCGTGGTCTGAAAAGCCCCATGAAATCACCGTGTCCATGAGGACACCATTCTCCACGCTACACAAATGTCTTCCCTATGAGGACCCAGCGGAGACTTTCCCTCAAATCTCAGTCCAGGAACACCTGCACTTCCGCTGAGTGAACAGCTTAGGGTTACGGAGCACTAGGACTCAGGTAACTGCCTACGCTGCTGGGGGGCAGCATCGAATGTGTGGCTCACCCGAGAGGAGCACCGTGGCCTTTACATATAATCCTTATTCCTGCCTTTGCCTGATTTTTCTCTTCTCATTTCCCTTTTTTAATTTGGAATTTTATTTCACCATTTTGCAATTTCTCCCCACAAGCCACTTCAATTTACTTTTAGAACGAGATAGAGTATGTTAACCCATCTTCACAAATATTATAGCTAGAGGGCAGGAAGCCTGACACACGAGACATGCTCCCAGAGAGAACACAGCCACCTGCAAGGCTCACCCCTGCTTTCCTGTCACCTGTGCCCGCATCTCATGTGACAAAGGTCATGAGAACTGAAAGCCAGGCTTACCTGGAAAACAAGCAGGTACTAAGTTTGTATCTTCAAACTTCCTATCTTTCAGCCACTTCTTAAGCTCTATAAATTCAGGTTTGTAGCTCTCATTCACTAATCAATGGAAAGAAAAAATGGTGGTTAAAATCACTGTACAACCAGATCACCACTTAAAAAGAAAATGTAACAAATTGCCTCAGTGTTATAAAAAGAAATAAATTTTAAAATGTAAAAGCAATGTAAACTAAAAAGGAAAAACCGTACGATCATCTCAAAGAGGCCAGAGAAGCAACTGGTAAAACCCAACGTTATGAATGCAGTACCTTCCAGCTGGCCAAGCACTCTCACACACAGAATGTGGCACGTCACTCAGGCTGAGTTACACTGAACTCGAAATGATGAATTTACATACAAACATTGATACCTCGCAGATAATTAGAAGTCAGGAGACAGGTTAGGACTAGAAAGAGAAACCTGGGAGCCATCCCCAGAGGAGACAGCTGAGGAATGAGAAATACGCTTATGTTCCCACAGGGTTAAGAACAGCACAATGGTGCGGTGACAGAGACTATTAAGAAGTGCCCTCTGTGAACACTGCCCATGTGCCTTTGAGGAGCTACCTGCATCTGCTAATACCAAGCAGCAAAGGTTTCTTTTTTCATCACTGGCACCAAACAGATCAGAACCGTACCTCCTCGGGACTCAGAACCTCCGCAGAGCCTCCGTCTTCTGACCCGGCTTGTCCTGCCTCTTCTCTTCCTCATACTAAAACGCAGTCCTGTTCATGAGCCCCATCTGAGATGAAAAGCATTCCCTTCGCCTCTTCCTCCAGTACATGATAATCACTGTCCTTTGTACCTATAGATTTAAATAGACAAACATCTATTATTTGATAACCCATTTCTCTGAAGTGTTTTTGTATGCAGAACATTTATACTGTGAGTGAAATCATGACCCCTTGTGCAGTAATGGAATGCCCATTTTACTGGTCCCTTTAAAAGAGTTCTTTTAATAAATTTTTTCCTATATGTGTATTTCTTAATCCTTACATGAGGATATGTGGGGTTTTTAAAATTGATTTTAGAGAGAGGAAGAGAGAGAAACATCAATGTGAGATAGAACCTTCAACCTAGGTACGTGCCCTGACCGGGAATTAAACCCACCACCTTTCGTTATATGGTAGGATATTCCAATCAACTGAGCCGAACTGCCCAGGGCTAAAACAGTTCTATCTTGAGGTCCTACTAACTGAAGAATAATCACAGAAATCCTCCTAACTGATTTGATAATCATGTGTTTTGGTGACTTATGCATCTCAATTCTAACCAACATTTACTAAACACCAACATAATTATGCTTTTGAATTAACAATGGCCGTGAAGCCCCCATCAGCTAGGAATTCTTAAGAAAAAAACACCACCAAGATCCTGAAGTAAATATAATTAAGTGGGGGTCTGCCACAGATCAGGGAGAGAATGGGAGCCACCAAGCAGTGATCATAAAATCTAAAATGACTCCCAGAGCTCCTACACGTTACAGTGCTTCCTCGGAAGCATAACAGTGAACTCCATGAACAGCGGCGGGATTCAGGGACTGGAGTATTATGCAGCCGCTAACAGGGAGAAATGCATGCTAAGATGTAACGCTGTCCGAGGCCTGTCAAGCGAAAGAACAAAGTTGCAGAATGTTACGAACTCAATGATGCCTCTTAGGTTGGCTTTCGAGCACATCACGGACGTTTATACAACCAAAGGACTGAAGGAGAGGCATCAAGGCTGTGCGGGGGGGCAGGGGGGGCACTGTTACTTCCGCAGCCTCTCCTGTGCCTCGCAACCTAGGACTGCGCGGCACAGCACGGCTGCTGCTGCGCTCGTGCGGATGCGCGGGCACGTGAACCACACAACCGCCCGCGAAATCCACGCCCATACCCGGGGACGACTAGGAGACAAGGGCCCAGGCGCTGTGGGCGGCCCGCGTCGGCCCGGGAGGGTCACCGGTCCGTCTACTGACAGGTGGCGAGGCGGGTCCCAGGGCTAGTCCCCGGCTCGCCCCGAA